TCAGAGCAGGAAGTCACCTCTTGCTGACATGGAGTGCACTGGGAGTTAGGGGCACTAGAGAACCACGAGCTGGCCAAATGGCGGGCTGTGAGCACTCTGCAGCAGCAGTCTACGCGCTCCTTACTTATCCAGTGATGTCCGAGGCCACGGACGGCTCCTTCCTAGTAGGAATTAGAACATTTGCCTTTGACTTTTTCATGTTGGAAAGTAAGAGGGGCCAAATCAGCGCGGCAACAGTGGTGGGAAGTGCACAGAAATCTGGCAGGGTCAGAGAAACAGGTCCACACCATTCGGTGAGGTCAGAGCTTTTGCTTCTGGTCGTAACACACCGTTAAGGTTAAGATACTTAGAAGCCTGGCACAGCGATATCTGCTGGTCACTTCAGCTACCTGGAGGCTGGGGCAAGAGGGAGGGCTAAATCAGCTGAGTCCAGGAGTTCAAATTCAGCCTGGCCAAGCAAAGCCCCTCTCAAAAGAAGAAAAGAAAGAAAGAAAGAAAGAATAGCATTTGGAAGTTAACTTTGGAATAGTTGGCATTTTACAGATTAAGGTAGAAGATTATGATAAGTGAGTGCATCATTATCTACTTTTAGTACAGTAATATAGCAGCAAAATAATATAAGGATGCAAAGAAGTCAGACAGAAAAATACTTAGGAATTTCTTCTAGGGAGATAACATTATTTAGCAAGACATGTAGGGGGAAAACATTGAGTGGGTGGTATGATTCAGAGTATAAATCTATCAGATGATAGAAACGTTAGTTAGTAGAGATAAAATAAGATGAATTAAAGCAATACATTTAGAAAAGCATGCACAGGCTAGGGAGAGCTTGGGAGGAGATTGTCAAAACAGTGAAAAGACTCTGACAAGCTCTAGAAGTCTGGGGTTCTTTCAACTTCCAGGAGTGAGGAAAGTTGCAAACACAGAGGGAGTTAAGCTACCAAGTAATGAGATCTCAGCAAAGGTTGAGTCGAGCACGCAGCGCTTTTTATGACAATGACACCTAGAAGAGGAAAGCTGAACAAGGAAACTAAAGTGAACTGGAGTCATGAGGCGCTGAGCCTCATGTGGTCCAGTGGGCACCATCTTGGGGTACAGTTTGGGAAGGATGCTGGGAGGCTGGAGCCAGGGGAGGGATGAAGACATGAGGGAAGCCTGGGGTTTTGTACACAAGGGTAAAGTTGAGACAGGTAAGCTGGAGAGCATCTGAATACCAGCAGCATTTTCTCCTACTGGTCTACACCAGCAGCAGTGTACTCTGAGGGTGGACAGCTCTGAGAGGCCTCATGTCTTTCACCAGGGCGCCCCGGCTACCGAAGCTGGAATGACCTTTGCAGGCTGAAGAAGGTTAAGGAGATGGCCAATGAGCATGAGGATGGGGGGGCAGTTTAACAGCGGCAGCAAGCTTGACACAAGAGATCCAAGTGCTCCCATCAGACCCAGAGCTGTGGGAGGACGACAGGCCCGGCAGCTACGCTCTCACAAAGGGATAAAGAAAATTAAAGTGGACGTGATTGACAGTACAGGAGGAGGTCTGGGAATTGGATAGCGACTGTACAAATGGACAATGGTGAGATCATACATACAAAACAAACTCATGACCCATGTCCTGGAGAAACCTGCCCAGGAAACTTACTCCTTAGCACCAGTCACAGCCCAGGAAGCCAGCCTGTTTTAAGTCAAGCTTGAGGGAATAAGACAGCTATCTCTAGAAACAGCCAGGGAGCCAAATGAGAACTGCTATTACAATTGGCCCCAACTGATCAGGACTTGAAGAATAACTTCCGGCTTCCCTAATTTTTATCCACACTTTTAACAGAGGACCAACTAGAGAAAGGCAGCTATGCCTCCCCAGCCAATCACCGGGAATGCCTTTCTAGCTTGCTACTTCCCACCTCCTCCTTTAAACGGCCCTGGTCAGAACATCCCGGGAGGCCTCCCATCTTCCCACTGTGCAGCTCTGCCACTCTTCTCTGGCCTTTGAGTCTCTTCAAAACCCAAATGATGTGGTTGACTCCTGTGCTACACCCAGCTCTGAAAAAAACACCCTGCATTCCAGGTGGCTGGTCTTAGCTCCTTCCACAAAAGCAATGACTCAAGTCAGGACAAAGAGTAGATTCAGGACAAGTGAGGAAGTGCAAAGTTAACTGTGAATATGGAAATGGGATCTCTAGACCCATTATCTCTTGTGTTTCCTGGTGCTTTGATATAACTTGCTGAGTCCTCATATCTTGTGAGATAGATTTTTTAATCCATCACTTTTAAGAGAAGTGAAACTAAAATAGCCTTCATAACCCATCGGACGTGCAGCAGAATCCAAGGACAGATTTATTTTTCACCACATCAAGTTGGTCTCCCACAGCCCCTCTGACATCCCCGTTGAAGTTCTGATGCTGGTACACCGTCCTGACAGTCTCCTTAAGGACACTGTGACTCCTTGTACAGCCTCTAGGTGTTCTGCTGGGAGGCGATGAATGAAGAAATTCAACTAATGTCTTTCTTAAGTTTACAAGTTAGAGTGAAGGAAGAATTGTGAGCTGAATTCGGATCTTTCGGGTTTCAAAGTCCACGGTCGTTTACTGCAACAGGCAAGTTTGGAAGAGGATCTGGGTGCTGCCAGGTTGGTACAAAGGAGGAGTGGACATTATGGGGTGCTGAAGGCATGATCAGCCTAGGCAGCCGGGGAGCACACTTCCAAATTACTGAAGATGCTGGCATGGATGGGGCTAATGATAAGGCTCAGTAAATGAAATACGAGAAAGTTTGAGAATTGTGAAAGCTAAGACACATGCTGCCCAGGATAATAAGGAGGGGGACAGATGTTATAAGGACATTCATCAAATTAAAATGAGAATAGAATTATGGTACAGAACACAGATTGTGATACAAGGCCTCTCAGGTATACTACCTCCTCCTCCCATGCACTGGAGAAAGCAGGGAAGGCAGAGGCTCCTGGGGGGAGAGCGAGGAAGAAGCCAGATGCTGGTTCCAGGACAGGCAGGCAAAGAAAGAGAATTATTTTCTAGATGGAGGAGCAAGCAGCTGAGACATCAGAATTTAGTTCTTAGTTAAGATAAAGAAATAACGAGACCCAAATTCCACTCGAGTAAAAAGTAAAAATCTGAGTAAATTTGAGTAAACCATAGCTTCTTTTATGTGAAAAGAATCAGCATTCAAGAAAGCTCTTTTTTTTTTTTTTTGTTGAAACCTAGCAATATGTGGTAATGGGGACTGAAAAAATTGCAGGTATTTTATCTTAAGAAGCTGTCAAGCTTTGGCCTCTATAAAATTGTTCTCGAGTGCTGGGATTTGTATTTAAAGTACCCAGCAGTCTTCATTATAAGGGGAGGCAGAAGAGAAAGGCAGAGAGTTTCCACTCAGTAAATGTGAGTCACTGGCTTCCTGTCCATGTGGAGTTCACATTTGGCGTTGGAACAAACAGCATTAGCGGAAGGTGACAGCAAAGCTATTGTTCCCTTGTTTTCCTTACAGGCATCCCAGTATAATTTTTCTCCATGATTCCATTTGAGAAGTAAATGTGCTTATGAAACACCTTTCTAACACAAAGGAATAAAATCCAAGATGTCTGCCGATGTATTTCTTCTATGCGTTGCTGTGGATCTAGCACGTGTTTTTTGGTAGATCACAATGATTCACGGGTGAAAGAAAAAGTCAGTCGTGTTTTAGGGCACTTCTTCACCCTGAACATTCAACCTCAACGCGACCTATCCAGAATAAAAACTCAGAGACCCATACCAGGTTGCAGCTGATTTTAAGCTAGAAAAGATGGGCACTTAGACTAATGCTTTCCACAGGAATAAACTACAATTTAAATTCATCGTGAGCTCTAATTCATAATTACTGTCATAATTTGGTGATCTCATTTCTGCTTTGCAGCAATATATATGTAAAAATAGACCACTTCATCTATTTCCCCCCCTTAGTACTTTTCTACATGCTTCCCTGACCTCAGGAAGGGATTGTAGCTCAGGAAAGCATTGCATGAAGAGATTCACGGGTTTGAAACCAGGCATGGTGTCTCTGCTAGTCAGCAATGACCCAGAGAAATGCTAGCCAACATAACTAAGATGGAACAGAGTCGTGTGTCACTTACAGAAGGGGACATGTTCTGATAAATGCATCCTTAGCGAATTAATCACAATGTGAGTGAGGATCACAGGACATATATGGCTGTGACATCACTAGGGAGTGAAATCTTATTGGACCACTGTCATACATGAGGTCAATCGGTGACCAAAGTATCATTATGTAGCCCTGTCTATACATAATGATAAAGTTGCTGCAATTTCTAGATGAAAAAGAAACAGTGTAGTAAATTGGGGCAGACTGAGGAAAGCCTGTAACTCTTCAAAGACTTAATCTTTAACTTGCAATTGGAAATTTTCCTGAGATGCTTGTGCTAATGTCTATTTAATTTTTTTTTTCACTTGTGTATTTGGTACAGGGTCTCACTACGCAGTTCAGACTCATGGTGATCCTCCTGTTTTCAGCCTCCCCAGAGCTGGGATTACAGGAGTGCACCAGCACACCCGGACTCTGTCGTCAGCTCAGCACGCCCCAGGGGTGGGGCCAGTGCGTCATGTAGGACTGGGGATCAAACCCTGGTCCCTGTGCTTGCTAAAGCAGGCACTTAGTCCACTAAACTATCTCGCTGGCCCTGCTAATGTCTATCTGATGTAACAACTAGTACAGTGTTCTTGGTCCACTGGGCACTTGCTTCTGCCTCCTGGGGAACATAGAGGTCTCCAGAAATGCAGAATGTTAAAAAAAAAAATTTATCTCTCTATAAGGCAGGTGGGACAACTATCAAACCAGTCAAATCACTGCTCATGCTTGCTGGCTTGGTCTAAAAGGCGACAGCCCCCATGAGCCAAGAAGAAGCGGATGACCACTTGTCTTTATGATGTGTTTCTCTTTGGTATCCAGGACTGTCTTGGCTTTCCTTGCCCACCCCCTAAAAGAGAATTTTTGTTTGTTACCTCTTACCGACATTTATTTTGACAATTCTTTTCTGAGAGTCCATCCTCGTCTTCTCCCATGATGTCCACAGCTGAGAAGATCAATGCAACGAGAATGGCAAAGCAGCAGACGAGGGCAAAGATCACAATGCACTTCTGCTGGGACTGGAAGAGAAAGACAGGAAAGAGGTGAGTTGGGAGCTGGCACCCAGCAAACTGGAGGGCTGGCAGCTTCTGAAACCCTATGGAGGACCGCAGGAGCACCATCACTTCTATCACTTCTAGAGGATAGCAGGGCCGCAGCTGAAATTACCTGGGACCTTTAGGTACTCCTTAGCACAGACTTCAAACCCCACTGGATTGCTAGGCCCTGTTCAATAATTTTTCCAGTGTAGTATTCAGACGTCTGAACCACTTTGCTCTTTCTCTTTTTGATCACAAGCGGTCCAGAAAGAGAAAGCTGGGAGATCTATTGTTTCAAATTAAAAATAAAATACAGACGCTAGCATTAGCGTTGTGTAACTGACATAATTTATTTCAAGACATTGAGCAGAAGCATAAACAACCATCATACTCTTGGATTTCACTTGAAAATCTAGGCAAAGCCCAGATGGTTAAAGGACAATCATATCCTTACCATCAGGCCCAAGCATTGGAACTGGAAACACCCTTGTCACCTGGCACCCATGGCTGAAGCTGACAAAAGAGAAGGCCATGATAACTAGTAGGAGCTGTGGCCCCTGGAACAGAGTTTTGTCTGCTATCTGATGTTAAAATTGTAACCCCTTATGCAAAGGAGTTAGGAGACGGCATCTTTTAGCAGATGATTAGGTGATGAGACAGTCTTCATTCTCATCAAGAAGATGGGTGGTCTTAACCACAAGAGGCATCCCTTCCCCGTGGGATGATGTGGCTGTAGGTGCCACCAATGAACCAGGAGGTGAGCCCTCACCAGACACCGAGCCTGCCGGTGCCTTGCTCTAGAACTTTTCAGCCTCTAGACTGTGAGAAATAAATTTCTCTTGTCGATAAGCCATCTACTTTATGGTATCTCAATGTATCAGCCCACATATACTAAGTTATTCTTTATTGTATAAAGGAGAATGGGGGTAAAAGAAAGCAACTTTTACAACTCTATGTGAAACTAGGGGATATTTACAGAGCAGAAAGAGTAATCTTTGACCGAGTGGCTAGGGACACCACCTTAGTGATAGAATAAATGTATTTTTGCAAACACACACACACACACACACACACACACACACACACACACACACACACACTCTCAGAGCCCAGTTCTTCCCAGGGGCAACTTCAGACTGCAGGTTACAGAGAAAGACACAGTTAAGCAAAAGGAATCAGCATTTCTGTGCACAGCATCACCATCCCTTGTGAGTGCTTTGTTTCTGCGTCTTCCGATCCTCCCTCGGGTCTGATCTCCTGCTGTGACTGCCTTCCCTTCCTGGCTGTCATCATGAGTCTCTTACGCCACACTCAAAGAGGAAGCAGCCAGCATGATACCCAACAAATAGAAGGTGCTCAAGAAACAAGGACAATATTATCAATTACAAACAGATGAAATAGAAATTACAGTGGTTTTGGTTTGAGAATGTAGTCACACAAATGAATTCTCTCAGGACTCAACTGTAACCTTCTTGAGGATTTACTTCAACATTATTTATTATTATGGAGGCATATCTTGGGGGCAGAGGCAAATTCATGGGACCACGCTTAGCAACTACACAAAACGGAAGAATACACTGCGTCTATCTTACTCCTTTATTTTCCATGCACCCTTTATTTCTTACTAGCTTTCTTTTTAAGAAGCAATACAATGACGTGGCTGAGGTCTCAAACTTCTATAGCCAAAGTGCTTGGATTCCACCGCTTACTGATTCCCTGTCCATGGGTAATCAATGTTGTGCTTTCCCTTCCCTGACTGTAAACTGGAGGTAACAGTAAAAACTGCTTTCTTGGGTTACATATGAGATACTGAACACAAAACACTTAAAACAGTAACTGGACTTGATGTTTGTTACTGTTAGTTTGTTGCATTTTGAGCACTCTGTATGCTGCCTCCAGTATTTTGGGAATGTATGGATAAACACCAATGCAAAAGAACCAAGCCGTCTATCACCATGTGTAAGAGAGAAGCAGAGAGTGAGAAACAGGGCCAAAAGAAGTGAAATGGAAAGAGAGGGCAATATTAGGTGGATAAGTTCTCGAATAAAATTTTTTGAGAAATTGTTCCAAAAGTAGCAACCCTCATACTTCAGCGTGCCTCCAAATAACCTAGAGGACTTGTTAAAATATGCATGACTGGAATGCAATTGCAGAGTTTCTGATTTAGTTGTTCTAGGGCAGCACTTAAAGATGAGCACTGCAACAAGTTCCCAAGAGATGTTTATATTTGAGGCCACAGAGATTCTGCACCCTTTTCCCTCTCCTTCCATCCATGAAGGATAAATCCCAAGACCACCAACAGGTGCTGGAAATCATGGACAGTAATGAGCCCAGTATATACCATGTTTTCTCCTATAGTTTTCATATATACCTACAATGAAGTTTAATTTATAAATCAGACACAAGAGATCACACCAATATCTAATGAAAATATAAAAAAATTAGATAAAAAAGGCACAAACTGTATTAAAATTGTCAGCATCACCACTCTTGCAGTTTTCAGTACAAGAAGGGTTACTAGAACACAAAGCAGTGCAATACCTTGACAGGTGATGTGATAACTGAATGGGCTATTCAGTAAACAATGGGCAGGTAGTGTATACAGCGTGGACCCACTGGACAAAGGGATTATTCATATCCTGGGAAGGATGGAACATGATGTGTGATATTTCATCACAGTGCTTAGAAAGGCATACATACTTAAAACTGGAACTTTTCGTTTAATGCTTTCAGACTGCAATTGACGGCAGATAACTGAAACTGAGAAAAGCACAACTGTGAATAAGGGCGCGGCACTGTACTGTGCTATTCATCTATAGTAAATCCTGTGCAATACTTGTTCATCCTTGGAACTTATTTGCCTTTATTAGATCAAGTACTAATGGGATGAAAATAAGTGCAAAAACTCAAATATAAATCTTGTAATTTCTTTTCTTTGTGATGGTTTAAAATAACTTTAAATATGTTCATGTTTTATTTTGAAAGACTTTCCACCAAGCTTTTAAATTTTTAATATTATTTGAATAATCAGAAAATGGTAACTCTTTAAAAATGCATAATATAAAAAAACTACTTACAATCTTACCAAGACTGGATCACTATTAACTTTTATACCAGGGCTTTCTCATAGTACCTCTGCCTTTGAGCACTGTGATAAGACTATATCATATTATGAAAAAAAATACAAAAAAAAAAGACTATATCATGCTGTATAAAGCAGTTTTATGCTCTGCTTCTGGCTCTTGCTTTTAATGTCATTAAACGCTCTTTTAAAGCATATTTTCAGTTGTTAGACAGAATTTCATTACATGGACCTACCACTGCTTCCTTTAGAAATCTAAAGCAAAAAGCTACTTATCGTCTGACAGAAAATGTTCCCAATTTGGGGCTTGGCTTTTGACTTTGTTGGTAATTTCTTTTGATGTGCAGAAACTTCTCAATAAGAGGAGGTCCCAGTTGTTAATTCTTTCAAGTATTACCCATGTGACTTGATTTTTGTTCATGAACTCTTTGCCTACCCCTATGTCTTCAAGAGTTCCTCCTACTTTCTCTTCCAGATTTAGTGTTTCTGTTTTAATGTTTAGATCTTTAATCCATTTTGCCTTTAGCTTAGTGCATGGTGATAGACCTGGGTCAAGTTTTAGTCTTTGGCATGTAGAGAGCCAGTTTTTCCAGCACCATTTGTTAAAGAGGCTATTTTTCTTCCAGTAAGCATGTTTGGCCCCTTTGTTGAAGATAAGGTGGCTGAGTGTGTTTGTAGAGGCTTCTGCATTTTCTAATCTAGTCCATTGATCCTCAGGTCTATTTTGTTGTCCATACTATGCTGATTTTATCACAGTAACTTTGTAGTATAATTTCAAGTCCAGAATTATAATGCCTCCTGCCTTGTCTTTGTTGGCCAGGATTGCCTTTGCTAGTCTAGGTCTTTTCTGGCTCCAAATAAATTTTAGGAATGATTTCTCTAGGTCTGTGAAGTATGTTGGTGGTAGTTTGATAGGGACTGCATTAAACCTGTACAACTATTTTGGGACTATAGCCATCTTCACAATGTTGGTACTTCTTATCCAAGAGCAGGGAATGTGTTTCCATTTCCTGAAATCCTCTATGATTTCTTCTTTCAGAGTGCTGTAATTTTCCTTGAAAAGATCTTTGACTTCTTCTTCTTCTTTTTTTTTTTTTATGGAACCAGGGATTGAACTCAGGCCCTTGGCTTGACCAGGCAAGTGCTTATTCTACTGAGCTATCTCCCTGGTTCCCTCTTTGACTTCTTTAGTTAGATTAATTCCAAAGTATTTCATTTTCCTCAGTGCTATTGTAAAAGTATTATTTCTCTAATTTCCCTCACAGTGTGATTGTTATCTGTGTAGAGGAATGCTATTGACTTTGGGTATTGACTTTGCATCCTGCTATGTTACTGAATTTGTGTATCAGTTCTAGTAGCTTCTTGGTGGAGTTTTTTGGGTCTTGCAAGTAAAGTATCATGTCTTATGATACTTTATCTATTCTTATTCCTTTTATTTCCCTCTCATGTCTAATGGTTCTAGCTAATGATTCCAGAACTATATTGAATAGAAGTGGTGATAGAGGACATCCTTCTCTTGTACCAGATCTGAGAGTAAAAGATGTCAGTTTTTTCTCATTTAGAATTATGTTAGCCAATGGGTTGTCATAAATGGCTTTTATCAGACTGAAGTAGATGTTATCAATTCTAATTTTCTGTGGGTTTTTAACATGAATGAGTGTTGGAATTTGTCAAAAGCCTTTTCTACATCGATTGAGATGATCATGTGGTTTTGGACTTGTCTCTATTGATTAGTGTATTACATTTATAGATTTGCATATGTTGAACCATCCTTGCATCCCTGGGATGAATCCTACCTGGTCATGGTGTATACTCTTCTTGATGATTTGCTGTATTCTATTTGCTAGGTTTTTATTGAAGATTTTTCATGTATGCTATGAGGGAGATTGGCCTGTAGTTC